AGGCATTGCTCTGCGTGGGAACGCCAGCGGAGCGACAAAAGTCGGGAGAGCCAAGAGAGCAAGGAGGGCACACCAGAGGTGCGCTTTGCCGATCATATTCAAGGAGCGATGGTGCTTATCATCGATCGACTTTGTGCGTATTTATGCGGATGGGACAACAGGAGAATCACATTTGTGGGGAAAGACGAAAACATCCTCTACGTGCTGCATCATCGTGTTTGGAGCCTCACAGGATGAGCCGGTGCGCCTCTAGGAATACATATGGACCTATCTCATGGCGCCTGGACCCTGCACTTCATATGTGGCGTGCATGAGGAAACCAAAGTCGGGTCATCCGATCTGGGGACATAGGACAGCTTAGCTAAGCATATCCCGAATTTACAGAGCACCACTAGGCACCCCAATCAATTTGGGTATCACGTTATCCAAGCGAGGTAATGTACCAATTCGGCATGATAACGAGCCGTATTTGAGCCTTTAAATAGTCTAGCCGTCCATTCGACGGACGGCTATGCGCGAACTCCTATCGTTAGTGTGGCTGGCTCTCACGCCTCTAGTGTGGGCCGTGACGTACGATGCGGTGATCGTCGGTGGTGGTCTCTCTGGTCTCTCCGCTGCCAAGGAATTGACGGCGCGCAACAAGACATGGGTTGTTCTGGAGGCGCGTGACCGTGTGGGCGGACGCGTGTGGAACAAGGAGCTACCAGATGGCCGGCCTGTCGAGGTGGGCGCTGAATTCATCGGGCCCACGCAGGACCACGTTATCGCCCTGTCGAAGGAGCTCGGTCTCTCACTGTACGAGACACCGACCGATGGGGACAACATTTACTATGCCAACAACAAGGCACAGCGATTCCCTACGCTGTTTGGGTCGCTGGTGCCGCCTGTCGGACTGGTCGACACGCTCAAGTTGGCTGAGCTGCAAGGCGAGATTGATGATATGGCGAAGAAGATCAACCCGCAATCGCCCTGGGACACGCCGGAAGCGTCTACGTGGGACGCCCAGTCCGTCAAGGACTGGCTCAAGAGCAAAGGGTCTTCGCAGCAGGTGCAAGACGTTATCGATACCACCGTGCAGGAAGTCTTCTCCACCTCGACCGAAAAGATCTCGGTGCTGTACATGGCCGTCTACGTCGCGGCCTCGGGCGATGCTGGCCATGTCGGCACGTTTGAGCGTCTGACACAGACCCACCCGGGCGCCCAACAGTACCGGGTGACAGGCGGCACGTACCGCCTCGCCACAGGGCTGCTCGACAAGCTCGGCAAGCCCAACGTCAAGTTGAGCTCGCCGGTCGACTCCATCACCAAGGGCGACGGCTCTAACGCGACGTACACTGTGACGACGCGTGACGGCACATCGTACGAGGGCCAGCATGTCATTGTTGCCATGTCGCCTCCGATGGCTGACAAGATCAAGTTCACGCCATCGCTGCCGAACCAGCGCCAGCAAGTACAGAAGCTGTGGAAGATGGGCTCGCTAGGCAAGGCCATTCCGCAGTACGAGACGGCCTTCTGGCGCGATGACCACTTGAACGGCCAAGCCATTTCCACCTCGGGCTACACGCGCGCGACGTTCGACAGCACACCAGAGAACAAGGGCCATGGCGTCATGCTCTGCTTCGTCCAGGACGACATGATGCGCGAGCTGGATCAGGTGGACGAGGACACGATCAAGGACAAGATCACACAGGACCTTGTCAACTACTTTGGCGACAAGGCCAAGAAGCCCATGGGCTGGGTCATCCAGCGCTGGGACTTGGAGGAATTCTCGGGTGGGGGACCGACGTCCAACCCCCCACTGCATGCCTTTGCCCAGTATGGCGAGGCACTGCGCAAGCCTGTCGGCAACCTGCACTGGGCCGGCACGGAGTCGTCTGATTATTGGATCGGATACATGGACGGTGCCCTTCGTGCCGGCCAACGCGCAGCCAGTGAGATTCACTAGTAGCTACCACTCACTGTTTTTGTTGTTTTGGTGATAGTGCCCCACCCCACTCTGTAGTCCTATAATGCTACGATGATTTGTTTCTCTCTACATTGCTACATAAGCGTTCGCTCAATCCCCCTCTAATCATGGAAGCGGAGGTGCGACAGCAAGCTACGGCGGCCGTTCTTCAGCGGGTTGGGAAGCACTTGGCGCTGCACTTTGCCCGGCTCGTACTGCCCCGTAGGTGTCGAGTGGTTCGCGCTGCCTTGACTCGGCACGACGGAGTTCGAGTCGTTGTTCAACTTCTTGCTCACTGACGAGAGGTCAAGCTGCAGGAACGATGACGTAAAGTTGCCAATCCAGGTGTTCTCGTGGTTGCCCATAAACTGCTGCGCAATCGTCGCATTGTTGTCCTTCGAATGCACATACAGGTTCACATCCACACCGCTGTGGCCATCACTGCTCCAGTCAAGGTGCGCACGCCAGTTGACAATGCCAGCGAGCCAAATGGCGAGTGGTACCCAGTCGTCCACGCTGACCAGCTCCACGGCACGCTTCACTTCGTCATCCGACACGTCTTCAATGCCCAAGTTCTCCTTGATAATCGTGTCACGCATGTACTGCGTCATGTCTGACTCGGTCTTGTTCACAAGGTCCTTCTGCGCCTGGTTCGCAAGGTACTCGGTGCTGTGCTTC